CTAATCTCTTCTGTATTGGTGTTAACTTCCCCGGCTTCAGTTGGCAGAGAAGGTGCATGGAGTAGGGAGTAGAACACAGTCTGCACAGTTGCTTCTAAGTATTATTGGTGTGCCTTAATTGAACAATTATGGTGAAGTCACAAAGGCAAGAAGCTGACACAGGGAAGCACGTCTGGGAATGCAGGGGCCGTTTGCTGTTTCTCAATAGCTGCATCGTTGTGTAACGCCTGCATTTTTCTGTCATGAAGACGGTTCCGTGAGCCAGTGCCAAAAGAAGCCAGAATTCTGATAAGATGTTAACATCTGACTTAAACATAGCTCGAGTGTCTGATATATGAGGTCATCTCCCCACTGTCTTGTTTACCCGAGCAGGAGGTGCTGCAGGGTGAAGGCTCAAGAGCATACGCAAATGGTCTGTGTAGGAAGACATCCCATTCACAAATGTGTCATTGGTGTGTATCACCTACATCTCACAAAGGCAAGGCTCGCCATAGTACTCATTGGAGTCAGCCTTGCTGGGCCTCTTTGAAAAGGCTGCAGAACAAAAGATCTGACCAAAGGTCCATCTGATCCATTGGCCAACCAGATAGGAGCATAGGAAGCTGCCTTATAGATGGTCCTTCTAGATAAGTATTGCCACTCTATACAAAGATGTGCTCTCCCATGCCTACATTCCCAGCATGTTTGCACTCCTGTCTCAGTGACCTCTACACTGGCTTGGTCATGTCCTCGGAATGGAATATGGCAGGATCCCCTGGGACATGCCCTTAGGAGAACTGGCTTCAGGCACCAGGCCCATTGGCAGACCAACTCTGTGTTACAAAGATGTCTGCAAACATAGCATGAAGGCTGGCAACATCAACCCCGCCATGTGGGAATCCCTTGCACACGACTGCAGTGCCTGGAGACAGGCAGTCAGGTTGAGCATCCATAGCAGTGACCAGAGGAGGAATGACCGCTGGGAGGAGCGCAGAGAGAAGAAATGCTGTGGTGCATCTGCAGCCACACAACCGAACAGCTTCATCTGTCCCAGGTGCAACAAAACGTATCTCTCCCACATCAGTCTCTACCAGGGGTCGGCAAGCTTTTTGGGGGTGGGCCGGTTCACCGCACCACAAACCTCCTGGTGAGCCAGAGTGCATGTGTGTGCACGCGCACATGCACATGGCAGAGGGGGCTTCTCTCTCCACCCCCCCAGTCCCTCCCGTCCCCCTGCCTACCTAGGGTGCTGCTGAGAGGCAGAGGCTGGTGGCAGCAGCAGCGGCGGAGGAAGAACAAGCAGCCCCAAAGGGCTGCTTTGGGGCTGCTCATTCCTCCTCCACCACCAACAACAGTGGCAGAAGTGGCAGAGAAGGAATGAGCAGCCCAAAAGGACTGCTTTCGGGCTGCTTATTCCTCCTCTGACAGCCTCTGCCGCTCGCAAGGGCAGAGCAGCAGTGGCACAGGCGGCGGCAGCAAACAGCTTGCTCCAACGAGGGGCTGCTGGAAATGCACTCGGCTAGCTCAGCCCAGCCCCCTTCCTCCTCTTGGCCACGCTCAGGCGCCGCTTACCCATTGGCCAGGGTCTCAAACCTTAGCAGGTGACTGGCCAGCGATTTGCTACACTGGGAGGAGGGGGAGGTTCCGCCGCAGTGAGGGAGAGCAGGGAAAATGTCAGCGGGGGGAGCGGTGCCCATGCCATGAAAAAAAAAACCACGGATTCCCCTTGTATCCAGCCCATGGGCCTTAGGTTGCCGACCTCTGGTCTCTACAGCCACAGCAGACGCTGTGACCTTCCAACAGTTTGGTTTCACCCCCAAAGGCACACACCTCCATTGTCTCCCAAGACAAATGGATGCCAACCAACACCATGGGTAGCCAACATGGTGTCCTCCAGATGGACTACAATGCCCATCAGCCCCAGCCACCATGGCCAGTGGGCAGGAATGATGGGAATTGTAGACTGTGATGTCTTCAGAACACGTGGGCAATCCCTGGTCTATACTGCCTGACAACAAGTCTCCAGAGGTTCAGGCAGGGTTCTCTCCCAACCCTCCCTTGAGATGCCAAGGACTGAACCAGCGAGCTTCTGCATGCTAAGCTGATGTTCTGCCCCTGGTGCCTCTGGAAAACTCACAAGCAGGGTATGAAGGCAACAGCCCTCTTCTGCTGTGCTGTGATTATTCCTTGGCAAGTGAGGCTTGTATTTCTCACTGTTTAAGTTTGGCACCAAAGGCAATCCTGCTGAGATTGCTTCCACTTGGGAGCTCTTGAGTGGAGCCTGTCCCTGCTGAATGTGGGGCTTTAAGTCAGCACCAATCAAACCCCATTTTTGGCAGAGATCAGCTACGCTCCAGAGTTCCTGACTGGAAACTCTGGAGTGTAGCTAATCCCATGCTGGCTTAAAGTCAACACCAATCAATTGGAGCCCCTCCCACACAATGAAATTAGACTTGAATGAAGCATTCTATTGCAGCCAATAGAACAGGTTGCAGTGTGTGTGTGTGTGTGTGTGTGTGTGTGTGTGTGTGTGTGTTTGTATGGGTGTGTGGTGCCCTCAACAGTTTCCCAGCTTTGCAAATGTGTCCACAGCCCCCCAATTTTGGCAACCTTTATAACCATCTCTCTTTTTTAACTGCTTCTGATCTCTTACTTGTGGTACATTGCAGTTCAGACAGTAGAATTATCAGTATCAGGAGGGATTAGGGGTGTCAATTATCTTTTGATGCCTTCCATTTCTCTTGCTGTGTTCAACTTTATTTGCCAAGGTAGGGAAAACCATGTCACTAGTAGCAAGAGATGAGGGAGGAATTCAATTCAGTTCACATGCAAGACTCACCTGAAACAATGTGTGGACCGACCCAACACACAGACATTCTTCAAAGTTTGCACTTCTGAATTTTGCAATGCAGTTCTCCAGCCAAGCAGCATATAGTTGAGTAAAATGTGCATTAAATGTACAAATTAGTGAAGATATTGTACCGAAATGCATATTAGGGAGAATGGCTTGGCAAAAATACAGTTAGGCAAAATTGCATTGAAAATGTGTATATTCAGAGAAAGTTGCACCTAAATAGATTAATTTTCAGGAGGATATTATTATTATTATTATTATTATTATTATTATTATTATTATTATCATCATCATCATCATCATGGCAAACCAACATAAAAATGTGGAGAACTAAGCATAAGTTTGGAAAAATGAGAACTGAAATTGCCAGATTCTACCATCGCAACTAGTATCAGACACAAAGTTTTAGGGATGTGGGTGGCGCTGTGGTCTAAACCACTGAGCCTCTTGGGCTTGCCAATTGAAAGGTTGGTGGTTTGAATCTGTGTGAGCTCCTATTGCTCTGTCCCAGCTTCTGCCAACCTAGCACTTCAAAAGCACACCAGTGCAAGTAGATAAATAGGTAGTGCTATGGCGTGAAGGTAAATGGTGTTTCCATGTGCTCTGGCATTCATCACAGCCCTCTGTGCGCCAGTAACTGTTTAGTCATGCAGGTCATGACCCAGAAAGCTGTCTGTGGACAAACGCCAGCTCTCTTGGCCAGAAAAGTGAGATGAGTGCCGCACCCCATAGTCGCCTTTGATAGGACTTATTCATTCAGGGATTCTTTACCTTATGAAGTTTCAACAGGTTATCTTAGGCTAGACAATGCATCCTGTTGAGTCATTAAAGAAGAGAGCATCTCGCTGGGGGGTCGCCATACAAAGGCTTCTGGAAAGTGAATAGTCCTCTTTACTGAAGGCAAATTGATCCTGTAAGGCAAACATTTACTGTAGGTGCCTCTGCAAAGCAAACAATCCTATCCGGATTGTTTTGGAGGTGTGGGAAGGAAGTCACAAAAAGAAGGGTGGCTTAAATTATTTGCACCCAGAATTAAGCTGTCTGTTACATGTCTCTGGACATATTTTCTTTGACAGCTCAGTACGCACGTTCTTTGAAACTTTAAATTGCCTTTCAGTTAGAATGGAGGCAAAAATGGCTTGGAATCAATATTTTAAATACAATCTGTGTGGTAACTCCTTCACCCCCTATTCATTATGTAAAGCACAATTCGTACTGCAGATATGGCTGACTCCAACTCCCATCAGCAGCTGTCATGACTGTCCATGGTCAGGGATGATGGGAGTTACAGTCCAGCAACATCTGGAGGGACACAGGTTCCCCCTCCCTGCTCTAAGGAATATTTAAGAGCAACCAAAAACACAACTTGCCCCTCTCTTTTTGTAATGCATTTTGGATACTTCTGTACCAGCTCACGGCTTCCAAACCAAACCCTCAAAATAGATCCCTCTGTTGTTAAGAAACCAGAAGCCTTTCTGCTTGGAATAATAGGATTGGAATTGCCCAAAAAGGATGTTAGATTGTTTTTGTATGCCACTACAGCAGCAAGACTGCTATTAGCTAAAAATTGGAAATCTCAAGAAATACCAACAGTAGAAGAATGGCAGATGAAGATGTTGGACTTTTTGGAGCTAGCCAACCTGACTGGAAGAATCCGCAACCAGAAAGAAGAGGAGTATCAAGAAGATTGGAAGAAATTTAAAGACTATTTAGCCAAATATTTTAATATAAGATAATTTGAAGTCACTTGAAAATATTAAATAGGTTTAGGAATAAAATAAGAATGATTTGTTAAGCATTATGGATTTTGAACATCAAGAAAAGACTAGAAGATAGTAAATTGAGAGTTAATTTTATTTTTAGAAAGAAGAGGAGAGCTGTTACAAGGGGATATAATGAAATTCAGTTAGGGGGGATTCGAGGAAATTAAAATGAACTTTAGAAGGAATATGTGTTTATATTTTTATTTCTTTTTCTTTTCTTTTTTTAGTATTGTAATGTGTTTTCTTTTGTATGTTTTATATGTTATATTTGTCAAAATCAATAAAAAAAATGGAAAAAACCAAAACAAAATAGATCCCTCTGTAGAATGCAGAGTATCACCCCCTGAATGAAGAATGAGATATCATCCCCTGCCTTGACCCTCTTGGCTGCTTCTATGTTTCAGAATCACATCCTCACCTTGATGTCTGTGGCTGCTCAGATCTACAAGCACCCCAGCCTGAAGAACTCCATCAGTTTGGTGGTGGTGAAGGTGGTGGTGGTGGAAGATGAGAAGGTTGGGCCAGAAGTGTCTGACAACGGAGGGCTCATGCTAAGGAACTTCTGCGAGTGGCAGCAGCAGTTCAACCCTGCAAGTGACCGTCTCCCGGAGCACTATGACACGGCAGTCTTGTTGACGAGACAGGTGTGTAGACGCTTGCAGTCAGGCGTGTAGACAGAATTGCTCAGAGGCCAACGTTGTCTCATCTCCCTGCAAACAAACCAGGGTGAAGGTTCAATAAAGAGGTCATCTGGGAGCACCCTTTGTTACATTGCCATTTTTTCCTCTTTGCAACAGGCAACCAGAAAAATGACCGTTAGAAGTCTGAACTGTATGCAGTACATGAAAGAGCATCTGCATTCATATCAAAATGTTTGAGATAAGAGTATACTTGCAGTAAATGTCTGTTAGGGATGACACACACACACACACACACACACACACCGAAGACATAAGGCAGGCATCCCCAAACTCAGCCCTCCAGCCGTTTTGGGACTACAACTCCCATCATCCCTAGCTAACAGGACCAGTGGTCAGGGATGATGGGAATTGTAGTCCCAAAACAGCTGGAGGGCCAAGTTTGGGGATGCCTGACATAAGGGTTTGTTTAGAAGGCTGGACTAACAGGAAGTTTGAAAACAATACTGTTTGATAAAATAATATAGCAAAGCCAGCAACTGAAACATACAACAAATCACTAAGAGAGGAAGGGAGAGAGTGGTGGACTCTCCTTCACTGGAAGCTATCTGCTAGGAACACTTGAGCTGTGATTCCTGCATTCCAGGCAGTTGGTGACCCTTGGGGGTACCGTCCAATTCTAAAATTCTACAATTCTATGAAAAAACCCTCACAGTTGCTTAAAAGAATTAACAAATTCTAAGAAGTTCAAAAAGCCCTTGGAGAATGACAAGGTCTTTCCCTGGCCCTAAAAAGATAACAGAATAGCTATTAGGTGGGCCTCCTCACTATTTGCTTTTAAAAAACAGGATTTGTATACCGCTTAATTGGTGTGGAGTTTTTTTTAAAAAAAACTGGTTTACATAAAATATACATTAAAATTATTGGTAAAAACCAGAAGTTAAAAAACAAGTTGACCTAAGAAAAACCTCAGGGCTATAAATTTTTAAAAATCCCAAGCTGGGATTCAAGGCAACTTACAATTTTAAAAACAATTTTAAAACACAAAGTAATAAAAACAAAGTAGTTAAAAACAAGAGTTATAATACAATAAAACACATTTAGAACCAGCATTAAAATACTGATTGCCTTGACGGCAAGGGGAAGGGAATTCCAGAAGGTAGGTGCTGCCCCACTGAAACATCAGTTCCTTTCAAGTGTGGAACGGTCTGTTCATTTACATTGTTGTGTGAGAGGTCCATTGGGGGTGATGGTGGCTCCGTTTCCTTTGTGTACTAGTTTCTGTTTCATTTTCTCACTCACAGGATTTCTGTGGACACCAGGGCTGCAGGACCCTTGGAGTGGCTGAGACAGGCACCATGTGCAACCCAAACAAGAGCTGTTCTGTGATCGAAGATGAGGGTCTCCAGGCAGCCTACACCTTGGCCCATGAACTAGGTAGTTACCATGCCCATATTGATGTGCACAGCAGGCGGGAGGAAGCCCATCATACTGCCATCCTTAAAAAAAAACACCACCAACCTTTTCTAGCCCTCATAGTTGGAAATTTAAGCTTGCATATATTTAAACAATGACTGCCAAAATTTAGGAAGCCAATGGAATCTCAGAAGCTGTCTTTTACGGAGTCTGAACACTGGTCATCTGCTTCAATATTGTCTGCACTGACTGGCAGTGGTTGCCAAAAACCTTTCCCAGTCCTGTGATGAGAATTGAACCCGAAACTCTCTGCCTGCATGGCATGTTCTCAATCACTGAGCTACAGTCGTTTCCCAAGTAGTTGCTGAACAAGTTTTTCATTGCCATGTGCACTGTTGTATAATTAACTAGCAAAAGCAGAATAAACTATGCAGTATGCAAATGTTGCAGAAGAGTGCTGCAAAAATAGAAAACCTGCAGCTTTGCAAAATGCAGGTTTCAAAATTCAGCTTTTCTTATTGCGTAACAGGGATCGTGGCACTGAAAACCGAAGCTTTGTTTTAGGGTAACTTTTTATTTTCAGTGGCCTTTTTTGTACAGGGTGAGCAGAGCTTTCAGATGGCAGACTTGGAAAGAAGTTTACTAGGGTATTATAGCACTTTGTTTGGGGATGGGAGAGACATTGCAAAGGAATTTAGGGCAATGAAACCATCTCCAAGGACAATTATCAGTTCAGAAAGGCAGGAATAGCTCATTCACCTCCTGTTTCTATGCTCTTTCATTCCAGGGCATGTACTCAGCATGCCTCATGACGATTCCAAGGCCTGTGAGAAGAACTTTGGGACCTTAGGGAAGCATCACATGATGGCCCCTCTGTTCATCCACTTAAACAAGACTCTGCCATGGTCCCCTTGCAGTGCCATGCACATCACAGAATTTCTGGATGGAGGGCACGGTAGGTATCAGACTTGCTATCCTTTTCAGATGTCTGCTGGGACAGTCCCATTGATGCCCATCCATCTTTTGAGAATGGCTATTAGAAACTCCTTGGTAATGTCAAGATTACATCTCTGACAATATTGACAATATTGTGGTTTCTCCCTCTTCAGTTGCACAAGGCATTTAGTCAATGCCAAACTCAAGATAGGCCATGTGTCAGAATCTGAACACTTTTGCAACTTTTCATGTGCTACGGTTTTGTGATTTTAGGACAGGTAAAGCAAAGTACTTCTTCATGCAGCGCATAGTTAAACAGTGAAGGTTGCTCCCACAGGAAGTAGAGATGGCCTCCAGCTTGGATGGCTTTAAAAGAGGATTGGGCATCCCCCCCCCCCAATAAAAAAATTCCATCAATAAAAGAATGGCAAATTAAACTTTGTGAATATATAAATTTGGCAAGATTCACAGCATTCTTAAGGGGACAATTGGACCAAAAATTAGCAAAAGAATGGGATTGTGTTAAAGAATATATGAAAAAAACATTGTTCTGGAGTAAGTATATCGGTATGTAACGAATGAAGCTTTGCAGGGTTAAAGAAATTGAAAAACGGTGCAAAGGGTATAAAGATAGAGGTAATTTACATTAGATACAACAATTCAGAAAGATTAAAAATTTTGAGGTCTCAAAACAGAGGAAGGAAGTCAATATGTGTATATGTACGGAAGTCAATATGTGTATATGTACGTAAAGATTATGATGGTGACATGGTTTTCTCTGTAGGTTTTTGTGTGTGTGTGTGTTTGTTTCTGTTTGTTTTGCTTTGCTTTAATTTTGTTTTTGTTTTTTCTGGATTTTATGTTTGTAATTTTTGTTGTAATTTTGCATTGAAAATTAAAAATTAAAAAACAGAGGATTGGGCAAATTTATGGAGGAGAATGGGTGGCTATTAGCCATTATGGTTGGAGGTATCAATGCTTCTGAACACAGTTACTGGAAACCACAGGAGGGGCAAGTGCCCTTGTGCTCAAGTCCTGTTTGTGAGTTTCCCACAGGCATCTATCTGCTTGGCCACTGTGAGAACAGAATGCTGGACTCATTGGGTCATTGGCCTGATCCAGGAGGTTGTTCTTATGCAAGGAAATCCTTAGCTTCTCTAGATTTGGTGATATTTCCAATTGGAATACAGACTTCTTTTGTTATGTATGCGATTTGACTATGGCTGTGCAGTAGCTGGGAAGCTGATTCAGTACACATTTAAAGACATACCTACCTGATTCACACTTTCCTAAACAATATGCAACCCAAAACTCAACCATCTTTTGAAATCCTTATTATTCATTATTGAAATGAATAAAAAGTAGCCTTTGGTGTGACCTTCTTTACCTCTCTCCCTCACCAGGTGACTGCCTGCTTGACAAACCTGCCGAACCCATTGCCCTCCCCACAGACCTTCCAGGCCAAGTCCCCTTATACAACCTTGATCATCAGTGCCAGCAGATCTTTGGCAAGGAGTTCCGACACTGCCCAAACACCACGCAGGAGGACATCTGTTCCCAGCTCTGGTGCAAGCTGGAGGCAGGGGAGCGCCTGTGCCACACCAGGAATGGCAGCTTGCCCTGGGCAGATGGGACACCCTGTGGGGCAGAGAAGATGTGTTTGGATGGACACTGTGTGGCCCAAGACACAGTGATGCCTGAGGTAATCATCTAGTGAGAAGCAGGCAGCCCACCTCTTACTAAAGGCCAAATAACACTTGAATAACACAGTTTCTAGGGACGCGGGTGGCGCTGTGGGTAAAAGCCTCAGCGCCTAGGGCTTGCCGATCGAAAGGTCGGCGGTTCAAATCCCCGCGGTGGGGTGCGCTCCCGCTGCTCAGTCCCAGCACCTGCCAACCTAGCAGTTCGAAAGCACCCCCGGGTGCAAGTGGATAAATAGGGACCGCTTACTGGCGGGAAGGTAAACGGCGTTTCAGTGTGCTGCGCTGGCTCGCCAGATGCAGCTTGTCACGCTGGCCACGTGACCCGGAAGTGTCTCCGGACAGCGCTGGCCCCCGGCCTCTTGAGTGAGATGGGCGCACAACCCTAGAGTCTGTCAAGACTGGCCCGTACGGGCAGGGGTACCTTTACCTTTTTAACACAGTTTCTATGATTTCTCCTCCAAACATGAAGGGGTGTGTACCCCTTTCTCTTCCTGCCTTTTCAAAATTATAAACACAAGAACACCTTTCCACTCACATAGAAAAATATACAAGGATCGTGTAGTTTTCCTTCACGCCTGATATTATCATCATCATCATCATTATCATTATCCTCATCATCATAGTTATATTTAACTAAAGCATGCAAAAAAAATTAATTGCTATACAGTGGAAGCTCAGGTTGTGAACGTGATCCATGCGGGAAGCACGTTCACAACCCGCAGCATCCGCAACCTGCAGCGCCGCATCTGCACATGCGCGGGTTGCGATTCGGCACTTCTGTGTATGTGCAAGCACCAAAAGCCAGAAGTAACCTGTTCTGGTACTGGGTTCGGCACAGTGCGCAACCCGAAATCGCGCAACCTGAAGCGTCTGTAACCTGTACAAATCCAGTAGACATGATACAAACCTGTACAAATCTAGTAGACATGATACAAAAGGAAAGAGGACTGGGGAGGGAAGAGGGAAAGCCAGCATTGGAGCAACTTCCCCATTGCTGGCCAATGGATGGGGGCAAGCTGGTCTTCTCTCTGCCATGATGACAGGGGCTGGGGCAGCCTCCCAATGGCAAATCAGCTGGAATCAGGGCCTTAACTCAGGGATTTGTATTTTGCAGCCGGCAGTGGATGGAAACTGGGGGCCCTGGAGCCCATGGAGGCCATGTTCCAGGACATGTGGTGGAGGAGTCCATTTCTCCGAAAGAGGGTGTGACAACCCCACACCTAAGAATGGAGGCAAATACTGCGAAGGCCAAAGAGTCAAGTATGAATCATGCCACACTGAGGAATGCCCACCGAATGGTAATCAGCTGTTTCCCGGCAAACCTTAATTCCCACTGACTCCAGAAGGAAGAAGCAGAGCTGACCCCACCCCAACCAAAGGGAAATAGCTTGTGACAAGAATGCAACCATTGTAAGGATGGGCAGGAAGCCGTTAAGATATCAGCTAATATATTGTAAGGGTTAACTACACTGCAGACATTTGTCAGTTTTCTATTGCTTTATCTGTCATGAATCCTGGGATTATTAGTCTAGTCAGGATGCAGAGAATGACCTGTTAGAGATCATTAATATTGCCCCCCCCCCGAAAACTACAATACCTGGGGTCCCTGGAATGACAGAATGACTACTAACTTAGTTTAAGGCCAAATTCACACTATACCATTAAAGCCGTATGATATCACTTTAAACAATCATGGTTTCTCCCAAAGAATTCTGGGAGCTGTAGTCTGCTATTGACTGCTAAGAGTTGTTAGGAGATCCCTATTGCCCTCCCAGAACTACAGTTCCCAAAGTTCCCTGGGTGGAGAGATTGCTTTTTAAGCCACTGAGGATTGTAGCTCTGGGAGGATATTGGAGTCTCTGAATAACACTCAACACACTTAACAAAGTGCAGCTCCCAGAATTCCTTGGGGGAAGCTGCGACTGTTCAACCCAGAGCTTTCCAAACTGTGTGTAGCGATGCATTAGTGTGTTGGCTGCAGTGTGAAGGTGTGTCGGGCAAGCGCTCCCCGTCCTCCTCCCAGGGCTGGAAAGGGGTTAGTTTAACCTCCGGTTTGCTAGTAAAACTGAATTACTGTGTCGTGAAATGATGCATGTCTAAAATGTGTGTCACCAACATGAAAAGTTTGAAAGCTCTGGTTTAACGTGATAACATAGCGCTTCGAATATATGATGTGAACATGACCGATGGCTGCAGTCTAGCTATGCCCTTTAACATGAACAAGATCAGGACTTGCTACAGAAGCATGTCACAGAGAACCCGAGATAGCTTTAAAAGAGGATTAGGAAAATTCATGGAGGAGAAGGCTATCAATGGCTACTAGCCAGGATGGCTATGGCTGTTTTTCTGGGCTTCCATGTCTTCATGTGCAATCAGCTGCCTTTCCTTTCCTTTGCAGGCAAGAGTTTTCGTGAGCAACAGTGTGAAAAGTATGACACTTACAACTATACAAACACAAACGGGAATCTGCTGGAGTGGGTCCCCATGTACACAGGCGTGTCACCTCGCGACCGCTGCAAGCTGTTCTGCCGGGCTAAAGGGGGAACCCGTCAATTCAAAGTGTTTGAGTCCAAAGTAAGACTTGCTCTTTGCTCTGAGAGTAACCTCAAAATCCCTTCGAGCAGTTACAGCACTTTAAAAAAAATAATTAGATTTTCCACAATTATAACAAAAAACACAAAGCAGAATGACACACAAAAACAGGGGAAAAAGAGGGGGAAAAGAAAAATACATCAATGAACGAAAAAAGAAAAAAAGGAACAATAAACAATAACAACAAACTTAATTCTTTACAAATCCAACCTTTTAAACATCTTGGTTGACTTCATCTAGTCCCTCCCTTCTGAGTTTCCTTGTAGTTGAAAGTAACAGCTTTCCAATATCATTCTTAAACTAAAACAATTTCCAATTATAATCCATCTTATTCACTTTTCTTAATATTTGAGCTTCTTTTTGCAACTAAACGAAAAAGCAAAATAATGAATCATGTGCAAACTGTATGTACATTTTAGCAGACTGGGGTTATCCTAAATCAGGCATCCCCAAACTCGGCCCTCCAGATGTTTTGGGACTACAACTCCCATCATCCCTAGTTAACAGGACCAGCGGTCAGGGATGATGGGAGTTGCAGTCCCAAAACCTCTGGAGGGCCGAGTTTGGGGATGCCTGTCCTAAATCATGGTATCACAGAGAAGGGCAATGGAACCTCACTTTGCTCTCGCTTTGGTTTTGTTTCAGGTAGCTGATGGGACCCTCTGTGCACCCGACACCCTCTCTGTTTGTGTGAGTGGGCAGTGCATCAAGGCTGGCTGTGACCACATCATTGGTTCGCCCAAGAAGTTAGACAAGTGTGGGATTTGCGGTGGCAACGGCTCAACTTGCAAGAAAATATCTGGCTCACTCAACAAATCTAAGTATGAGGCAGACCAGGGCAGCTTGAGCCAATCCCAGTATTGCAAAGGAGGGAGATGGTTGGGCGATGGCGGGGTAGACCAGAGGAAGACTGCATAGGAGGCGATGGCTGACCTGATTCCTTGTTTATCATGGTTCTGGAGCTGGATTTAAAGATGGTGCTGCAGAAGCATAAAAATCATAGATCAAAGGGGAAAGCTCGTAGCTTTGCATGTAGAAGGCCCTAGTTTCAGTTCCTGGCATCTTCAGGCACAGCTAGGAATGTTCCCTGTCTGTATCCCTCCAGAGGCACTGCCCATCAGTGCAAACAGTAATAAGATAGATTGACCGATGTATAAAGCAGTTTCCCTGCTGAGGACAGGGGAGAGTTCCTTTGCAGAAGGGGCCATGGTCCTTTATGGAATATCAATTTTGTAGCTGAAGAAATTTGTTGTGCTGTTTCTGGAGTTTGTAGTAATGGTGTTACTGTTTTGAGAGCTTGTGTATTATTCCACTTTTATTTTGTATGCTATTTTGATGGCTTTCTGCCGTGAAGTAGGTTATTATTCTTATTAATAATAATAATAATAGCAGCAGCTCAGTGACAGAGCATCTGCTTTGCATGCAGAAGATTCCAGGTTCACTTCCCAGTGTCTCCAGGTAGGGCTGGAAGAGAACCCTACCTAAAGCCCAGGAGAGCTGCTGCCATTCAGTGTATGTTCCTACCAGTAGGGCATGGGCTGTGTAACTGAGTTGGGGAATCCAGAAACAGCTCTGATGTGCAAGCAAGAACAAGGATCTGCCAGCTACCATTCTTAAGGATATGTCAGCCTAGTTCTCCAACAACCCTGGAGATACAGACCTTGAAGTTCAGGCAGATAGCAATATTCTTTCAATACTTCATCCAGGGATTTGAGACAGGTATATATAAAGGAATTGTTAAAAAAAAAAAAGCATTGCATTTATGATCAAAACTCATTGGTTTTGCCCTATCTGTCCAATTCCCTGTTTTCTTGGGAAATGAAGTGTCTCTCTAGCTTCTGCTACATTTCTAGGATGAGGCACCTGATGCAGCAACAGCCCTAACTGCTTCTGAATTATCACCCCTCTCTCCCCCACCTCCAAGAATCCTGGGACTTACAGGTTTGGTGAGGGTGCTAGGCATTCCCTTAGCGGTCCTTTGTCCCCTGACACAGCCACAGTTCCTAGGGGTAGCTTGGGAGAGATGACAACTTAAGCCAATTTCATTCTGTGCTAGATATAATACATATTCATGATTTATTTTATTATTTATTTGGAAATATTTATTTCATGCCACTTAATTTTTAAAAGCATTTGCATAAAATGGTATGAAATAATTATTTGAAAATTGAAATAAAAACAACTCTTTAAAAACCACGGACGTAACAAAATTATCTGACCATGGAGGAAGGAATAAAGGAAAATGTTATTGTTTAAAGCCAGAGGCAACCACAATATTAATACAACAAACAAACACGTCTCTTTGGTCTCCACAGATTTGGATATAACGACATTGTCACAATCCCCGCAGGAGCAACCAATATTGACATCAAGCAACACGGTCGCCGAGGGGTGTGGCCTGACCAGAACTATTTAGCTCTGAAAACCCTGGATGGCAAATACCTCTTGAATGGAAACCTTGCCATTTCAGCTATGGAAGAAGACATTTTCATCAAGGGGACTGTACTGAGATACAGTGGCTCTCTTACCACCCTGGAACGCATCCAAAGTTTCCAGAAGCTCCCGGAGCCACTTACTGTCCAGGTGTTGACCATTTCCGCTGAGCTGTTCCCCCCAAGGGTGAGATACACCTTCTTTATCCCCAAGGACGTCCACTTCAGCAAACAGAAGAGCAAGGAGAAGAACTTGGCCAACGTAATCAAGCCCATGCTAACGTCACAGTGGGTCCTGGGAGACTGGTCCGAGTGCTCGAAATCATGCGGCTCTGGCTGGCAGAGACGAGCGGTGGAGTGCCTGGATGTGGAAGGGCAGGCCTCCTCAGCCTGCAACAAATCCCTCAAGCCTGAGGACATCAAGCCCTGCAGTGACTTCCCGTGCCCCATCTGGCAGATGGGGCCTTGGTCCCCCTGTTCTCAAACGTGTGGAGAGGGAATGCGGACACGAAGCGCCTTGTGCGTTGACTACACAGGGAAACCTATCGCCTCAGAGAAATGTGGTTCGCCGCGGCCGCCAGCAGCTACCACCGCCTGCATGCTTCAGGAGTGCTGAGGGCAAAGGGATGGCCAACACATGATCAGAGGCATGTGTAACATAGGCTACTAACCTGACCCGAACCAGGCTTGGCATGGCCAAGCAAGGATGTAGGTTTAAAGGCAAATGTGCACTATTTGACCTGAACAGGCCCTGCTGGGTAGACCTGTTTGAAAGAATAGCAGGCATTGAATACCAACCACTTTCTTTCTCTCTCTCTCTTGCATTGTCTTCCTCCAAATTGGCATCTACCTCAGGGGCGCGAGTGCGGAATAGCATGGGATTTTGGATGAATAATGGTAATTATTTTTTGAAAAATATTCTTTTTTTTTCAGGCCGCTATTTTACACCTAGGAGAATTTATAAACAGGTCCTAAGCTGGACCTGAATTTTCCTCACACTTTCCCCAAGCTTTTTTGTGGGTCTTATCACAGAAATGGCATCTAAGAACCTATCACTCTTCAAATACAGGGATACCCTCAATCAGTTTTTCAGTAGTATGCAGCTCCCATAATCAGTATAGCAAATATCTACTGTGGGCCCCTAACCCAGCCCCCATGTTGAATATCTGTATATGAATGAGCAGGCCACTTAATCCCAAGCTGGCCATGATACTCATAGCTCCTAATCAGAAGGATTCTGCCGGAGTAACTGACTTTCCGACGGTTGTCTCAGCTGCAAAACAAGGTACACAATTCAAACCTGTTCTGCAGGCTTTCGTCAGGATTAGTCGAAGGCTTATTATATACAGTGTTTATTATATGGTGATGTTTTTCTTGCAGTGATTTGTTGGCCATGGTCTACAATAGACTGGTGCTCCATTAGATCAAAATTCTGCAGCTGACTGATCTGATACCTGCACTCTCAAGTCATTGGGAACAGCAGCACGAGGGACATAGAAACCCTGGGAAGAGTTGTAGCTCAGTGGTAGAACATCTCCTTTGCATGCAAGAGGCCCCAGGCTCAATCAAATGCAAGCTTATCTGAAACCCTGGAGGGCCAGTCAGTGTGAATAAGACTCAGCTAGATGGCTCAAGGATCTAGCTCAGTATAAGGCAGCTTCTTTCGCCTCTCTTTTCACCTGCTCTCTGACTAGAGCATCATGTCATGGTTAAAAGCAGCATGAGCAGAATGGCACTGACATGCAGCATTCAATCCTCACCCCTGGCTTTTAGGGAATGAGAATGGCAGGTGTGGCTCATCCTCCTTTTCGTTGCCATGTAACAACATCTGCCAGTTTGGAAGCTTTGTTAAGCTCAATATTAATGCTGTGAGCCAAAGAAAGATGATATAGGTTTAACTCTATGAAAGGTATACCACCACCCCTTATTTTAGGAAGGGAGACACAATTGGGCTTCACTGAAGGGTTAGTCCTATTCAAAGCAGACCCACTGAAGTTAAAGGACATGACTAACTTGGGTTAATTAATTTCAACTGATCTACTCTGAGTATTGTCCTTGAAAACGGTTCCTTGGTGATGTCACCAAGCAATGTCCCGCCATGGCCTGAAAATAAAACTCCCTTCCCAGTTGGATCCAGGCTTTGTAAATCAGGAAGTGAGTTCAGCAAACAAACTCTATAAACTGAGACACAACAAAATACGTTGGAAATTGACACAGGCTCATTGATCCAAAACATTTGGATGCCTTTGCTCAGTTGCGTAATACAGTCTAAGAAAGGAACCTCAGCCGTCTCTTGGGTTGAGCACAGTTTAGCATTTCCTTTTCTATGGAAACCTTTGTTGCTTCCAGGCCATTATGTGATTGTCAGCTACATGTTTGGATAAGGCGATTATTCAGAAAAAGAAACCGGAATACCTACTGGGTATTTCATTACTTGTAAATAGTTGGCTCAGTTTCAGTGTATATAATAATATGGATGTGATTATATTTACGCATATTTCCCCAGTACCTCTCCCCACCCAACAGCTTGCTTTACTTGTGGATTTATTATATGTACCATGTCTTCATACTGGCTTTCAAGCTAAGGTGACTCAAGGTTCATGCACATGAAACAGGGAAACAGTGATTAAATATCACATTACAGCTATTGGATCAAGGAACTAGGCATCAAAGCTAAAGCAATTTCTACTGTCTCTGCTTTAAGCGTATGGCATCATGCTCATAGACAGTGTTAACATTCCCAAAGCTGATAAGGTCATATCCACACCACACATTTAAAGCATTATGAGACCACTTTAACAATCATGACTTCCCCCAGAGGAACCTGGGAACCTTAGTTTGTTAAAGATGCTGAATTCATAGAGCTACAGTTCCCAACCCCCTTAATAAACTACAGTCCATGACAGTTAAAAGTGGTATGTGAGTATGGTATGAATGTATAATCTATATATTCTAGAAAGATATTGGTGGCTTTCACATGCTTTGGCTACTCAGTTTCTATAAGCACTTTTGGAAAAGCTGAAAAACATCTCCTCTATGGTATTTTTTTTGGCATTCCTTGTGAAAAAGAATGCAAGAATATTGATGGGCCTTTGGTTTGATCCAGCAGGACCTCTCCTTACGTTCCATTTGCCCTTCCTCTCTCAGTTGCCATCAATCCGATTGGATACGTGACATTCTAGTGCCATCCTCCTCACCATGTGATCCCTTAAAAACCATGTGTTACCTAGGAAGAAAGGAGAAGTAGCAACTCGGAGAGTGGGGAGGACAGGAATGGTGCTGAAGCTATAGCAGCCAGGGAAAATAGTGGCAGTATGTAGAACTTCAGGAAATATTTCCACTGAATCAAAATTGCAACTTTCCATCCCAAAAAACTAAGAGAATATCCAGCAGATGTTGTTATTTTGCTAAATCTTTCATATCTCCCTTGTATTCCAATTCTACCCAAGACTTTGTGCTTAGGATTGTAGCTCTAATTACTGTGCACCAATTAAAAGCTCTACATTCTTCATAATGGCTTATCCATCCTTAAAGTTCAAATCACTATATAGTTTATAAAAAGCACTGGAGAGGCCTCAAGCTTAGGCCCCAGTGCTATTGTTGCCACTGGGACGCATGGAAAATGGAGTTCCCAGTCCTTGATTGTCTCAGTGAATTGAACTAGAATGCATTGTAAGCAATATTTCCCATGCTCCCTGGCAGCAAAGGAGATGCTCAAGAACATAGATTGCTGCCGAAAGCAGGAGGAATCTAGTTCCCCATGCTACCTGGTAGTATAAGGTGAGCACCCAAGCCTTAAGCTTGACACCTTCCCATCTCTCACTAGGGCAAGTTTGCACTGAGCCGTACCAGGATAGCAGAGCATATGCTTTAATGGGGAAGGTTCTGAGTTCAATCTCTGGCATCTCCAGGGACAGTGAGAAGAGAACTAGGATGGCCAGAAGCAAAAAAGGACAGGACTCCTGCACCTTTAATAGTTGTGCAGAAGAGATTTCAGCAGGTGGAGCTTGTGTGACAAGCTGCTTCAGAAAGCAAACCTCAGCTCTATAGAGTTGCAGGGAGGAAGGGAGGTTGAAGGATGCAGCATTGCTAGTGGATACTCTAGTCAACTGTTCCTGTTCAAGAGGACAGAAATACTTACCCTGAGTTCCAGGAACTATCCTCGCTATCCATTGTAATGCGCACTTTGCTCCAATGCTTGGCAGTAACACTATCCGGCAGCCCTAACTATATATCACATTTCCTTCTGAATCTTACACCAGCAGACACGATCCTGCTAGTAATTCCAGTGGTTAAATACTGGAAGCCAAAGAACAAGTTAGTGCAGGAGGCACATGTAAACTTACACCCCTGTCTCCTAAGCAGTAAGAGTTGGATTCCTCTGAAATTAATGGGATTCAGCATGTAGTAGGAGAAGCATGTGTGTTGGGGAGAAAAGACTGGGTTCTCGGACCTCTGGGGAAGGGCCATAGCTCAATGGTAGAATGCATTCTTTGCATGTGAACAGTCCCAGGGTTCAGTTTCCAGGTACGTCTGAAGAATACTCCCACCTGAAACCCTGGAGAGCTGCCCTCAGCTAGCGCAGACAGGACTATGCTAGTTGGACCAGTACTCTAAAGCAGCTTATGTTGATCACACATGCTCATATTCCAGGGGCTGGAAGTGGATGACAGTGGAGAGCTAGTAGGTGTGGAGAGTTATGCACTCCTCCAAGCTGCCACTTCTTTCCTGCACATGCTCCTCCTCACCCTTGCATTTGTGTTAACTGGAGTGTACATATTTGTGAAACAAGGGTGTGCCTCCATAACATGTGGTTCCTTCCTCACTTCTGCTTAATCAGGACCATCCTGAGATGTACTGTCTATCAACTGAACATTTTATCTCCCAGTAAAATTCTTCTATATAGAGAAGGCTTTAACATACAACATACTTTCCTCTTTCCACCCCTGTATGCACTCAGAAAAGCACACAAGCAGTAGTTGCAAGGAGTGATGTGGTACTGACAACAAAATCCTGGGCTTAACATGTGCTTAAAGGTAAAGGGACCCCTGACCATTAGGTCCAGTCGTGGCCAACTCTGGGGTTGCGGCGCTCATCTCGCTTTACTGGCCGAGGGAGCCGGCGTACAGCTTCCGGGTCATGTGGCCAGCATGACTAAGCCGCTTCTGGTGAACCAGAGCAGCGCATGGAAACGCCGTTTACCTTCCTGCCGGAGCAGTACCTATTTATCTACTTGCACTTTGATGTGCTTTCAAACTGCTAGGTTGACAGGAGCAGGGACCGAGCAACGGGAACTCACCCCGTCGCGGGGATTCGAACTGCTGACCTTCTGATTGGCAACCCCTAGGCTCTGTGGTTTAACCCACAGCGCCACCTGCGTCCCAATATAGGGGCACCCTATTCCTTTATCCACCTATGCACTAAAAAACCCAGTCTCTATTTTAGTGGAACCTTCAAGTCCTGGAGCCTGCTCATTTCTGCTGTAAGAGTTAGTACTCCAAGGGTAGCCAACATGGTGTTGGTTACCCATGTAGTAGTCTGTACACCATTAGGTCAGTCCTGGTTTGTCTAATGCACCTTTGCCAATCAAGTGCCCTCCAGATGTTTCAGACTACAACTCCCATCAGCACCATCCAGTGCATCAGTTTAGTGAAGGTTGGCCTAACACCTTCCTTTACATTTAGTGCACAACGGGCTTGTAACGAGCTTCCTCCTGCATCAAAACCTGTGTGGTCCTCAAATTTCTTTTCTAAGGCGCCCAATGTCCAAATGACTCAGAGTTATATCCTGAATTAACTTGGTGTTGAGGAGGGGGAATAGCTTGTTACTTAAGAATTCACTTGTATGAGAAACTAGGCTGGATTCAACCTTAAGAAAGGCAGATTCACTTTGTTAAAGTTCCATCTTGACACGTCTGGGAAAAGGGTCAGCATGGAGTCTCCCCACAATTAAATGCCTCCACCTTGTAATTTAACATGGCATTTGGTATCCTTGCTCAAAGTAAGGCCCCGTGCTGCTCTTCATGTAAACAGACCAAGGAAAGCACTGGGCATTTGGGGACAAAAATAAGGTAGTTTGGCTCTTCCTGCTTTGGAAATGTAATGCCCATGCCCATGTAGACAAATGGTCCATCTGTACTATACACTGAAAGCAGTATCAAACCACTTGAAACAGGCATGGATTCCCCCAAGAATCCTTCGAACTGCGGTTTGTTAAGCTCACTGAGGCTTCTTATGAGATCCCAACTCCCCTGAGTTACAATTCTTAAGAGTGGTTCAGTAGTCAATTCCTTTTCCCAGGGAACTCTGGGAACTATAACCCTGTGAGGGAACAAGGGCCTCCTAACAATTCTCATCACCCTTAAAATTAACTATAGTTCCCAGGAGTCTTTAGGGGAATATGTGACTGTTTCAAGCGCTATGATACGGATTTAAATGTATAATGCGGACGGAGGCCAAAGATTTAGAGACATTCTACCGACTGCAAACCTTGAGGCGGTATAATGCTAGACTGAATCACATCAGACTGTTGATGGAGGGGTCATATTTTCCTGAAATGCTTCACTTGGAAAGCTTCCTGGATCCCAGAGAGGGCTGCCCTACTCTTTTCTCCCTGACGTGCTAGTTCATGGTGTACAGAGAGTTTCTTTACATGAGGGAACATTGGCAATGACCCCATCTACTGTTCAATGGTACAGTCCAGAAGCCTGCCAACTCGTTCTGCGCAACGCATGGAACAACTCTTTGCTGCTGCTGGGCAACATCCATCAGCCGAAGGTTGGTGTGATCAAAGCTGCTGCCTGTTTCCTCTTTGCTTTTTCTTGTGGAAACAAGGCACAGGCAGATTTCTGTATCTAGCACATGCAGGATTTTGGGTGCCAGCGCTGAAGGTCATTCAGCATCTGGCTGTTGGGAGATTGGGAGATGTGGTGCATTCTTGGGGAAAAAGCAATGGAATTCCGTGGTGCTACTTGGCTGCTCCCTCTCGGGGCTGAAACAGTGCGGAATGTGCTCTGGCAGCTTTGAGACGGGTGAGTCCAAGGCAAGGATGACCCTATTTCCTGCAGATAATAATAATAATAATAATAATAATAATAATAAATTTTATTTATATCCCGCCCTCCCCAGCCGAGCCGGGCTCAGGGCGGCTAACAACAGTCAAATAACAATCAAATAATAGCACATTCTAAAAATATTTCGTTATAAAAATTAGTTAAAATCAAATTGATGGCAACCTTTCAAACAAAGCCACTCTGCACAGTGGGTGCAGGTTTTAAGATGGGCTCCTCGGCTGTTGCTGCTTCGGCTTTGTGTGAAGGCTGCAGCTTCATTCTGCTTACATGAAAAGGAAAAGAACTTTTCTCAGAGGATCCACCATTACGCAAGGGCTCTGACCCTCAGCACCTTTTTGACAATAAAGGGGAAGCTGTTTTTGTTCCCCTTGAACGGAGCCAGTTAATGACTGCCTAAAAGCTATCCCGCTGGAACGGCCAGAGGGAGGGAACAGCTGCAGCCTGAAACAGATATAGTTGGTAGTGATCAGGGATGGGTGAATCTGCCAATTTAGGTTTCTCTCACTTTCTCACTTTTCCAATTTTAAGTTCAGATCTCCGCATTCCACATCTGTTTGTGTTCTCTCTCTCTAATCCTGAAACTTCAGCAGTATTCTAGTGCAAGTTTCTCCTAATATACACATTACTGTATACAATTAATATACCTAATTATCTAATATGCATAGTAACTGAAGCATCTTATGTTTTCAGTGTTTCTTAATGTTTATCTTTGAAGTACACAGTGACTAAAAAAGCTCCCCTTTCATGCTGAATAGGGTGGCTGTAGAATACTGGGACTCTGCTACAGAAAGAGTAAGGGGTCTCTGATTTCCCACCATGACCCTGGACTACTGCACCAATGCTCCCAGCCCTGCTTTTTTAACAGGATATGCCAGGCGTTGAACCTAGGACTACCTGCACACAAAAACCCCATGCTACAGCCCTTCTCCATAACAGGCAATTCCAAATCCTCTAGAGGGACAAAAAAGGAGAAAAGGGTTTATTTAAACCAGGGAGTAAGGTGGTCTGGAGTTTTAGATCCCACTTTTGATAGGAAAGAAAAAGGGTTCCCTCAGTCTTTAACCACCAATTTGAACTTTGTCTGGTCAAAAAACCTTGGATGCTCCCACTGCCTTTCAAGGTTCTGGGTGCAACCAGAAGCAGAAATTCCTAAACACCAGGAGGACAAAAAGTAGTTTGAGAGACCTGACCAGTACAGGAAATACTGGAACTCTTAGCCAGAAAGCTTTTCCTTGCCAAACAGCTATCTTAATTTTGTAGACACAAGACATTTGGCAACAACAATCCCACTCTCCCTTTTTGCAGGATGCAGAGAGCTCCTATAGAAGCCAAGAACATTTATTACCCTATGAAGAAGGTTGAAGAGAAGATAGGGTTCCTTATGACCGAGGGTTAGTTTCCTGAGCCAAACCACAAGTCTTGCACTTCACATTCTTTCA